TGTCTCCTTTCTCCTCCGGATGCAGGACTTGGGACACATTTTTCAAGACTGATTTCAGATGGAGGACAGAGGAGACAGGAGAAATATGGGAAGCCTTTGATCAGGTTGCTTCAGTTGGCTCCCCTGTTGGCTACCTGTTTCTAGATTATGTTGTACGTGAATCTGTCAGTGTCAGTGTTTTTTTCTTGATTTAACCTGCTGTGTGTGCTTCTTTTTCTTTTCTATTTTTGAATAAATCTCTGATTAAAATAACTTGAACTTTTCAGACTTGCTTTATTTTCTACTAATCAATTAAACTGTTTGAGATTTATTTTTTTAATGTGACTGGACATCAACATCTTTATAGCAACAATTCAAGTTTTATATCTTGCTCTAACACAGTTGCACCACATGAGGGAGGCATCCTGCAAGTTTTCTGGTGCATCAGATTACATAAACAAACAAACAAAACAAAACAATCTACAATTCTCTTTGCACAGGAAACTGACACTGCATCTTGTTAAGTAGAGTTTCAGTAGATTTTTGGTCAGTTTGATAGTTGAACATTCCTAACTGCACACTTCACAGATATTAAAATAATGGCTTTGTTACTACAGCCTCTTGTTGTTTTTGTGGCATTTGCAAGTAAGTCTCAAAATTAAGATGTTCAGCAGAACTTATGTCTCTTTACAAAAAGTCATATTTTCCTTCTGTTGTTTGCCAAGGGCTTAGAATAGCAACAAGTCACCAAAAGCAACAGCTGGTTAACAGTTTTAATAACCACGCGATTATTGAGCGATTCCTGAAACTGAAAATCAGAATTATGTGCAGTATTATCTGGAAAAGCTGACATTAGACTTTAATGAAAATAACTCAAACTCTTCAGACCTGCTATATTTCATGCAAATCTTTATATATTCATCAACTGTTTTATATGTTTGAGTAACAACAGCACTTTGCTATTCTTCTCCCGCAGGCTTCACTGAAGGAGTTGGTGTGTTGCCTGATGATCGCCTGAATGCAGCTGTAGGAGAAACGGTGATGTTCACTACAACACTGACTCCAACAGAGAAACCGTTTCAATCTGTGAACTGGGTTTTTAATTCCACTACGACTATAATAATCGTAATGAACTCAGAAGAAACTATTGCACCTGCGTATGAAGGCAGGATCACCTTCTTCCCATCTACTGCGTCTTTGGGGCTCAGGAGTCTCACTCTGGATGACACTGGAGAATACAATGTTAACATTATACAAGATGGAATAATCCAGAGTGGACGTACTACTCTGTTGATATACGGTGAGCAGATGTAGAAATTCAACAGCTTAAGTGTTTTTGCAATATTTAAACAAGTTTACAATATATTGAACATGTAAAAATACCTGTAATGATTTGTACATGTTTGTTACATCTCTACTCACTGCAGTAATGCATTCTTGCAATAATTTGTCTTATTCTTAAGACTGTGATAATACAGACTTTAAAAAGTGGCTGTAAGAAACTGAATGGTTTATTTGAAGGTAATATTGATCCCCATGCAAGAAAGAACAAGCTGAGAACTCAACTGTCTCATTTATTCTGTTCAGAATAGTCACTTAAAGGGAGTTGATTTATTTATTTATACAAATAAAAATATTTCAAGATTTTGATTGGTACAGTATTTCTTTCAATTATTGATATTCTGTATTTTTAGATTGTGTATGTAATATATCCTCCTTAACATGACATGGTTTGTTTGTTGTTTCAATGCTTATTTTCTATTGTTGATGCCAACAATGAAACTATTTTGTTTTTCTTTCACAGAGAAAGTCTCCAATGTGTTGGTAACTTCCAGCAGCACAGACTTGGTTGAGTTCAGTGCTTCTGTCTCTCTGTCCTGCTCTGCCTCTGGATCCTCTCTCTCTTTCCTCTGGTTGAACGGCAGCTCTGAGGTTACAGCAAGTGACAGAGTTCAGCTCACTGATGGAGGCTCCAGTCTGACTATAATCAATGTGACCCGCTTTGACCAGGGACCATTCAGGTGTCGTGTGTCCAACCCTGTCAGTACTGGTACCAGTGATCCAGTAAACCTCTCCATCAGCTGTGAGTTACTAAAGTAAATGCTCAGTAATTTATCTGAAAACATCTGCACACAAGCATCAGAGTGTTTAGACATCATTTTAGATTTCAGAATATTAGATATGTCCGATAAGCTGAATAAAAGATGGATGAGATCGTTTTTTCTGTTGACATGATGTGAAGCAATGTAGTTGTGTGAAATACTTTTGCGATTTAACAAGAAAAACTGAATTTAATATACTTTTACATTTTTCATCCACCCAACGTAACTTTTCTATGTCCCCTCTACATTTAGATGGCCCAGAAAATATCAATTTGATATTATCTCCACCACAAGGATACTTTGCTGTGGGGTCAGACATCAGCCTCACCTGCTCGTTGGATCCAGACCTCCTGCCCAGTTTAACTGGTTTCTGAATGGAGATCAGCTGCTTGATACTGGATCAGAGCTCAGACTGATGAATGTTAACATGAGTAACAGTGGAAACTACAGCTGTCAGGCCTTTAACAACAAAACTCTGAGATCTCAAACATCTGAGCCTTCAGCCATCACTGTGCTGGGTAGGTTTGATTTATTGTTTAAGTGTGTGATTCATGCATATATTTTTGACTACAGCTATATTCAGCTAATAATTTCACACATATAAAAATATTTGTGGAGATAAACAATACAGAAAAACAATTTTCAAATAAAATGGTTTCCTCATATACTGCAGGCTTTTGACATATTTTCTCACGTAGAAAACAAATGGGGCTGATAGAGAAAAGAGGATCAGTCAGAGCAAAACATTTACAACAACATGCTCTTTAGGAAAAACAGGAAAATCTTCTCTGTCCAGACCAGACAATAGTAGACCTAGAAACAGCATTGATACCATGCAGGACCCTCAAGCTACCGGGTCAATGTTAGAGGACATGAGCTTTTCTGTAATCATGTTATAATCTTATCACCCCTGCCTCCAATTCCATACCTGCATAAACCTTATAGAAGTAGCATCCTTGGCTACTTCAAAAAGTCATAAAAAGTTGTCTGTCTTTGTCAATGTCCTCTTCATTTGCTCACAAAACATCAGTTATATGTAAATAGGGTAATAAAAAGTGTCTGCCTGATATTAGAGTCTTGAACAGTGTTTCCACATATTCATATCAATTAGTATTAAATTGGTATTGGAGATAAATAGGCAATTTAAAAGTGTCCGGCACATTTAAATTTAATATTATACGTCTTGACCTTCAAGTTGAAGTTGTTTGAAAATGTCAAACAATTATAAATATTTTTAGTTGTAGATAATATAACTTGAATTTAGTGTTAATAATTATCCTGTAAATTATTCTACAGAGAATTACCATACCATATCTCAAGAGTTCTCCTCATCTCTGTGGTTTTCTTTGGTGTTTTTAATCTCATTTTATAGATTTTCCAGTTGTTCTCTTTTATTTCACCATCACTGATTTTTTTTGCTTTTCTTATTATGATATAAATTATTTTCTAAATCTTTTTTTTTTTTTGGCGAACAGAGGAAATATCAGGTTCTTCTGTCAAACCATCAACAAACCTGCCAGTTGAGGGAACATCTGTCAGCTTAACCTGTGAGGCTTCTGGCTCAGTCTTTATAAGAAACTGGATGAAGGATGGCTCCGATCTGACCCCGACTGACAACATGATCCTTTCTGACAATAACAGAGTGTTGACCTTTAACACTGTGAAGAGGAAAGACAGTGGAGAATATTTCTGCCAGATCAGCAACCCTGTCAGCAGTGATGAAGCTAAATACATCATGACTGTTAATTGTAAGTAACATCCTGGTCAGTCTACACTTCTTGTTCATGCATACAGTAAAATGTTGTCAAACTTTAAATGGAACTACTAATATCTTTATTGTCTAGTAATGTAGAATTTTAAAAGTGATGAACACATTGATTTTTTTTTTTTACCTGTTTTTCAGATGGACCAGAAAATGTTCAAATCAAAGGTCCAAATGAGATAAATATCAAAGGCACCTTAAAACTGACCTGCTCTGCTGAATCCACACCAACTGCCAGATTCACCTGGTTCTTAAATGGGACAGAGATACTCACCAATTCGCTGAGTACATTAAAGAAGAGGTTGAACTTTCTGACAGTGGCAACTACACCTGTCAAGCCTGGAATAATATAACTGAGATAACATCATCATCAGTGGTGCATGGACTGACTGTAACAGGTATCTGTGTGTGTACATACTCTTTGATGGTACTATTGAAAGTTTAACAGGTGGTACATTTGCTCTAGTTTTCTATCTACGGTGGCCCCTAGAGACAAAGCACATACAAACACAACGGAAGTGCTCCAGGACGCTACGGGCGGTGTTGAGCTTTTGTTACCTAGTGGCTAAAAAAGCCAGGAAGTACCAATGACCGGATTAGGTGTGTTGCAGTTACAGGTCAATTTAAAATGTAAAAACTATTTGAATACATGAGTGTGGTTGTATCCAACTCCATGTGTTTGCAACAAACTTGCCGTTTATTTTGCAAATCGACCTCAACACTCCCCCTAGCGTCCTGGAGCACATCCGTTGTGTTTTGGAGTTTGCATGTGTTTTGCTGTTTGCATGTATTTCGCAGTTTGTACGTGCTTTGGCGTCTGCATGTGTTTTGGAGTCTGCATGTGTTTTGGAGTTTGCGCTTTTCAGTTTGTACGTGTTTTTTGAAGTTTGTACATGCTTTGTCTCTAGGGGCCATCGTATCAAGACTTTAATTAATTGTCAGCAAATTGTTAACTGAAACCACATGGGGCATCCACCACTTTTCCAAACACAAGTACTTTCGATGCAACAAGAGCACCAATCAAAAGTCCTCTGATCGTTCTAAAATTATAAAAATCAAATAAAGAAAGAATCTATTGGATGGGGGTTTTTTTCCAGAGAAATCATCAGGATGTGCTGCTGGTTGCATCGCTGGAATAGTAATCGCATGTTGTGTCATCGTTGCTGCAGCTGTTGGTGGAGGGTACTACATTTATAAGAAAAAGTAAGTTGAGAATGTATTTGAAAAATCACCAGGAAAACATTTTTCCTTTTGAATATACATAATAATTGTAATCTTTGAAATATGTCTAGTATTCAGTGGTACGATTCAACAAATGGTTCATATTCTGCAAACAGTCACTTGCTGACGTTCATCTTCTGCTGGTCTCAGAGTAATCACGAAGAAGAATTAATTCTTTACAGTTCTTGTTTATATTAATTATGCGGAATAAACACTTCTCATAATAAATTTGTGGATTCCTTGTTAAATTCAAATAAACCTTAGTGTTGCCGTTTTGTGTTGCATTTAATTGCATGACCACATTTTAATAATGCTTCATTTCAAATATTTAGATTCAACAAAAATCCTCAGAAACAAAACACAGGTATGGTATTTTTTTTCTTTTTGAAATCTAAAGTCATCTTACATGTCTGCTATAGCAAAATAAGGAAATATGGGGGGGGGAGGGGGGGGGGGGGGGGGGGAGAATCAAAATTATTGTTTTAATAGATATCTACATCCACTGTTACAAATCTTTGCTTTCATAGAACAAGATGAAAATATGTATGAGAACATTTCCATATATGACAAGAAAATATAAAATATAAACTCAGTGATGACCTTCCCTTTTCAAGGTAAGTTTAACATTTATTATCACTGTTATTTAAGAAGGAACAATTTTGATAATTAACAAGAATATTTTCCCATTTCTGTAGATTTTCAGAAGTCTTCACCTGCTGCAGAGAATTAACGTTATAATTTATGTTGTTTTGATATCATATAATGTTAAACAAGCTATGTTAAGATGTTTTAACTAATAGATTATTGCTCTCCATGTAAAATAAATATTAATACTTTCTCTGTAATAAATCTTCTAATATTTGCTACTTTATTTTAAATATATTTAAAACAACCCAACACATCACAGTTGTGTCTCTTGTTTTTATATAAACTTATTGCGTATCAGTTACCAAATGTGGTACTATAATTACATGAATTTGCACGTTAATGTTAAAATCTGAATACAAAGTGATGTCCAACGTGTGGACCGAGGCATCTTGTCAGGACTGCAGGTGTTCTGCAATGATAACAGAAAATCTAGTTTGAAATTATAGTGCTTACAGGTGCATATCTATTTAAATTTATTTAAAGCAGAAATTTATAAAAGCTTCAATTAAAACTGATAACAGGAGTTTGTTAGTTTTACTCATTACTCTGACCTAAAATTACTCCTCTTTGTGTCGCTGTTGCTTTGCATGTAAATCAGTAGCATTAGCAATTTTTAGCCATAAGCCTGTATTGTTTATGTGTTTTGATTAAAAAAGTCAATGAAATACATCACTCTTTCGTTTGTACTTTAATTAGAGTGAAAATGGGCCCCACAGGATTTTCTGGTTTAAGTGGGCAGCAGTTCTTTGGGAATGGCTGTACCCATATAACCTTTATTTAATACCTTTAATATTTAATACCTTTATTTAATCATTGAGACCTTATAAAACCAGAAACTTACACTTTTTGTTTTATATGCTGCATACCCACATGTGGATTTTCTGTGGTTTTGAGGGCAGGATGATGAGTAAAGACATTGGGGAAAGCGGTAAAGCTGTATTTTACTGATCATAATATTTAATTGCCCCTGAGGTTCTACAGTAGTTTCTTCAAACTGTAAACCGCTTAGTGAAAGTGCCGTCTCAAAAAAAAATCAGAATTGGATGTTGCCTCAAGGGTCGGTTTTAGGCCCTGTACTTTTTAATTTGTATATGCTCCCTCTCGGCAGTGTCATCAGGAGGCATGGAGTGAACTTCCACAGTTACGCTGATGACACCAGCTGTACATCTCCGTGTCTCCTGATGACACCAGACCAATGGATGCCCTTTTTAACTGTATTTTAGATATAAGATCTTGGATGGCAGAAAACTTTTTACAGCTTAACCAGGACAAAACTGAAGTTTTAATCGTCGGTCCTGAGGCTCAGAGAGAGAAATCTTGTCTTTCGCTACAAGTGAAAAACCTGGGTGTTATTTTTGACTCTGAGCTTGGTTTTATCCCACATATTAAACATGTAACCAAAATTGGATTTTATCATCTAAAAAATATAGCCAGAGTCCGCCCTATTCTCTCTCGGGCCAACACGGAGATGCTGATGCATGCTTTTATTACCAGTCGCATTGATTACTGTAATGCCCTGCTCTCTGGTCTTCCTAAAAAGAATATTTCAACTTTACAACTTTTGACAAAACTCGGCAGCTCGTGTGCTGACGAAGACCAGAGGGCGGGCCCACATTACACCGGTTTTAGAATCGCTGCACTGGCTCCCCGTGTGTTTCAGGATCGATTTTAAAGTTCTTTTATTGGTTTTTAAATGTCTTAATGGTCTTGGGCCTTCTTATCTCTCAGATCTGCTTTTACCATACGAACCCTCGCGGACCCTGAGGTCCTCTGGTCTGGCCTTTTGATTGTCCCTAAAGTCAGGACACATACTCACGGAGAGGCAGCTTTTCAGTGGTATGGTCCTCGTCTGTGGAACAGCCTGCCGGAGGAGCTCAGGGCCGCAGAGAACGTACATGTTTTTAAGAACAGGCTCAAGACCCACCTTTTTAATTTAGCTTTTACTTAAGCGTTTATTTATTTTATGCTTATTTATTCTATCCTGTTATTCTATTATTAATTTAGGCTTTACCTAATATTTATTGATTTTATTCTTATTCATTTTTTAATCTTCTTACTCTATTTATATTTATATTTATATTGTATCCTGTTCTTATTTATTTTATCATTTTACCCTGTATATATCCTATTGTGTCATATCTCCAGTGTTTCCTCGGAGGGCGCTCTCTGCACCGGGGCTGTGATCGACGTGGCTGCTGGGTCTCTGGGGTCCTCTCAGCCTGGTGGGGGGCTCCTTTGCCTCCCTCCTGCTGTGTGCCCAGCCGGAGGCTGCGGTCTGTGACCGGCTCCCGGTGCAGACGGCTCTCTGTTATATGTTTCCTCACTTGGCTCATGCGAGCCCAGCCCAATTTTTACTCTTTAAGTGTGTGCGTGTGTGTGGGGTGGGGATGTGGTATTCAGTATGTTAATTGAGAGTGTGGGGAGTGAGTGGAGGGGGGTGGCGGGGGGGTGCTTTTAACCATGTAAAGCACTTTGTGCTACATTTTTTTTTGTATGAAATGCTACTAGACATACGGACATGCATTGATTGCATTGCTTTAATTGATTACTCTGAATTTATTGAATCTTGTTATTATTTTCAGTTTTTGCCTCATATTTTATCAATGACAATATCTTTTTTATGTTTCTCGCTGCAGATGGACCAGAAAACATTCATCTGACCCGGTCTGCATACCAAAAATATTATGACGAAGGATCTGACATGAACCTCATCTGTTCAGTTGACTCAGGTCCTGTTCCTGAATTTAAATGGTTTCTGAATAGAGGCCTGCTCTCTGATGCTGGATCAAAGCTCAGGCTGGTGAACGTTCAGAAGAGTCACAGAGGAAACTACATCTGCCAGGCCTTAAACAGCAGAAGTCAGAGGAATCACACATCTCAGGCTGAAACTATAACTGTACTGACATATTTAATCAAATATTTTTAACACAAATGGTTTTGTTTGATAAATAATCAGTAACACCTAACATCGTTTCATTTTCTTTTCTTATAGCTGAAATCTCCAGTGTGGTGCTGACTGCTAACACCACAGATCTGTCAGAGTTCAACAGCTCCATCAGGCTGTCCCGCTCCTGCTCCTCCCCTTCCTTCTTCTGGCTGAACAGCAGCTCTGAGGTCACAGCCAATGCAAGAGTTCAGTTCACTGATGAAGACGCCACTCTCACTATAATCAACATCACCCGCTATGACCAGGGGCCATTCATGTGTTATGTGTTTAATAATTTCAGTAATGACATCAGCAATCTGGTGAAGCTCTCCATCAGCTGTGAGTTATCGTGTCTATTATATAGCTTTTTAAAATTCTTCAGCTTGAATTATAATTACTACAAAACATTATCTTTCTTGCTTTTTTTGTGTGAACTACTGTTTAATTTTTTGCATCATGTGGTTCATAGTGAATAAATAAATAACTGTATTTAGTTCATTTATGCAGTTCTTCACGTAAAAGTTGATAATTCTGTACTGCTCACCGCTTTTTACCAGGTCGCCAGAAAATATAATTCTGAGGACATCTCCATCAGGAGAATACTACGAGGAAGGATTGAACATCAGGCTGACATGCTGGGCCATCTCCAGACCTTCTGCCCTGTTTTGCTGGTTTTTGAATGGTGTTAAGCTCACCCATACTGGACCACAGCTCAGACTCATGCATGTTACATCAGTCAGGCCTTGAATGATGAAACTCAGTGAAATCAACCATCTCAAGCTTCTGTTATATCAGTTCAGAGTAAGTTTTTAGTAAGATAAATTGTTACAATATTCGTCCTACATCCCATTTTTATTCCTTTTTCCACCCTCGGCTGCAGTTGCAGATGTGTCAGTGATTTCAAACCACAAAGTTTTGCTGGAGTTCAGCAGTTCTGTCACTCTGTCCTGCTCCTCCTCTGGATCCTCCCTCTCTTCCCTCTGACTGAATGACAGCTCTGAGGTTACAGAAGGTGCCAGAGTTCAGCTCACTGATGGAGGCTCCACTCTCATTATCATCAATGTGACCTGTTATGATCAGGGGCCATTCAGGTGCAATGTGTCAGTTATGAAATCAGCCGGCCGGTGAATCTTTTCATCCAGTGTGAGTTTATGGCAACAGTACAGCACACCTGCCAGTTATTATCAGACTCTGTACAAATTCCACCTGTTTCAGCAGAAGCTATGGCTCTAAAGGTTATATTGAAGCTCATCCTAAAATCTGAGCCCATAAGCCTCATAGACTGTAAATAACATGACCTGTAGGCTCCAGTGGTGCAAGAGATCCAGACTCCGCAGTATTAAATGGCTCAGGGTTTAATAAATGATCAGTCATCAGACATCCTAGCAGTTTTAAAGCACTGAATGGTCATTATTCACTTTCTGAGTATATCAGCCTGGTCTTACATAAAGAGGAAAATTATTCTATTGTGTGAAACTGAGAACAGTATTGAAACAGATTAAAGACAGCCTGTTATTTTCATCTTATTCAACAAAACACAAGATACAAAGTATGCAAAGTAAAGCAAAGTATTCATTGCACTGCAA